CTGGCTGATAAAATGACCCTGTTCTTAAAGGACAAGGATCAAATTTCAGTAGGGATCCAAGTAATGAATAATTTGTCAAAATCATCTGGTCTGCATTTGAATCTTAAAAAATGTGAGATTACAGCAGTTAAAGATTGCTCTGAGACATTCATTGAAGGCATTCCAGTTAAAACTGAGGTTTTTATTGCGGCATAACCAAAAAAAAAAAATGCAGCTCCTTAAATTTTGATCCTTTAATTCTAAAAGCAAGAAAGAAATGTAATCAGTGGTTAGTAAGTGGTTTCTCTATGAGGTGATAATCTGCTTAGCAAGGCTGAAGGCGTCTCTAGGTTCACTCATGCTGCTCAGGCTTTAGATCTGGATAAAGGCTCTGAAAAAAAGAAAGTGATAAATTGCTCTTTAATTTTGTTTGGAAGAATAGAATCCATTACTTTCCAAAATCTACTTTAATTAACTTTGATTTGATTAAAAACTGAGGGCTTAACTGTTTATCTTTCTCTACCTTAAATAAAACTTTTAAGATAAATTGCATTCGCCACTTCTTCACATCACAAACTTCTATAATCAATACTGTCCCTAATCACATTTTTTAGAAACTTGGGGGTTTAACCTTTTTCTTGGTTTGCAATTTTTATGTACATAACATTTCTATAAACTCTCTAATTTTCATTGCCAGGCTTTTCCATTATCATTTTTCTAAAAGCACAACTTTTAACCTCACTGCTCTTTGATTTGGAACAATGAGGACATCCTGTAGAAGAGAAGATCTTTGTTTCTGGATTCATGGTTCAGTCATGATATTATTCTGGTTGATCAGCTGTTTGACATCATTGGCACTTTATTAAATTATCAGGGATTTCTCTCTAAATTTAACTTTCCTATTTCTTCTGGAGAATATGCAAAAGTTTTTGGTGCTATTTCTGGGTTTTGCATTTAGACAGAAACTCAAAGACTCAATTCTTCTTCATCTCCTTCTCTCCATAACAACAATAAATCAGTCAGATCCATCTTTCAGAGAAAAGTGGCGTCTGTTCCTGCAGCTTTACCAAACTGGAACCAGTTTATGACGGATGTGTCCTGGAAACATACTTTGATTTTATCTAACCACTTTCTGCTCACTAACAAGGTGAAGGAAGTTTCATTCAAACTCATTCACAGGATCTATGCTGCCAAAGACAACCTAAAAAAAAGGTTCAATTCTGATATTATTATCAACGGCTCTTATTATGATCTTCTTCCAGAATCTCTTACACATCGGTTCTGGTTGTGTTCGTACGCTAAGATCTTCTAGCAACACCTTTATAACAATGTGGATTTAAATTTAAAGATTTTCAACTTTGTTGGGAAAATGTTCTATTTGGTTTGCAGCTGCAAAGTAAAATGTTTCTCAAACCTTTTCTTATCAATCTCTTAATTATCTTTGCTAAATTTTACTTGCATAAATGTAAATTTCTAAGAAAAAAGCCGGACTTTAATGTTTATTTAATTGAATTAAGCAATATTTTCATACCATTAAATCCTCCTCTCACCAAAAGGAACAAAAAACATATCAATCTGTTCCCAACTGAAAATTCTGGACATATTCTGGACCTTTGTATAACGGAGGTCATCAACACGGGGTCTGGGACCCCTAGGGGTCCACGCAGGTACTGCATTGGGTCATGGAAGTTTTGATTGATTAGAATTTTTTTTATATTCACCCCTGGAATTTTTTGAAATGTCTTTAAATCCACATTAATAACAATTGAACAGACTGTAGTAAGCAGATAAATGGAGGCAGAAGATAACTAACTAGTCTTATGTTGTTTGTTATATGCTGACTTTTCCTAAATCCTTTTATTCTTTTAGCGATCACTAAGGCTAATATTTTCAAGTCATTATTAAGAAGGCAAATAGGTCGCCTTTCAAAGCATGAAAGGATCCTTGTTGGGTTTTGGTATACGGTGGTTAAGTCCTGAGTTTTAGGCAGAGAACCTTTTGTCATCCTTTCATTAAAGACCTCTAATAGAAAAGAGGAAAGGACGTTAGAACAATATTAATAGAATTCACCACTTAGACCTTCTATCCCAGGGAATCTGTTGGTTTAGAGATGTGAAACAGCATCAGTCATTTCTGGAATGATGATTGGCTCCTCACAGCGTTTCTGGTCGATGTTAGAAATCGGTTTCTTTATTAAATTGTTCAATAAGGAACCACCTGAGGCTTGATAGAGTTTGAAACTATACAGATTTAATGAAATATGATCAGGATCATCCATTGTAATATTGTTAATTTTTAGTCTATCGATCAAATTAGTGACAGCATTACATTTCTGAATGAAAAAAAGTGTTTTTGTTCATCAACCATTTTTTCCTTGACCTAACAAATGCGCCCTTACTTTAATGTAAATATTGTCTAACTTAATTTGTAATTCAGCCAATTCTTGTTTTTCTAAATCTCTTAAAATAGAAGGATTAGGATGAGAAAGCTCAACAATTCTGGAATTTATATAATTCTCTTCTGCTCTGATCGGTTTGACATTACAACAAAATTTTCTCAAGAATTTTTGCCAGATTAGACTTTCAAAAATTCCCAATTAAGCCTATAACGAGCATCTGCATGGACTTTAGATCAATACTGCTTGAAAAGCATTGAGATGATTGTAGAGACCTCTTCATGTTGCAGTAAAGAACTGTTCTTTTTCCAGTGGGATGGTCAACAAAAAGTTTGTTTCTTGCTTGAAAATGTAAAAATCAATTCAATGGCTTTATGTTCAGTAAGAGGAGTAGGAATATATTAACAGTTAGATCCTCCTTGTTTACTGTATTTGATATTAGCCAGAAATCGATCCTAGACAGCCTAGTTAAAGATATATTATTCCAAGCAAATAAACAGTCATGAGGATGGAAAGCTCTCCAGATCAAGTTAAACTTTTCCATTAAATATTTGACAGCTGAATTGGAGGCGTTAGTTTTGCTAGGAGGCCATTTATCAAGATCGCCATGAAGGACGGTTTTTAAATCTCCTCCCATGATAATTATAGCTTTTGGAAATTAAAATAACCATTCAGAAAAAAAAAATCTGAATTGAGTAAAATAGTTTTATCATTCTCTCCTTTGTTGCTGTAAATATTAGCACAAATGAAGGGATGGCATTTGAAAATAAGAACTTGACAGATCTACCGGTAGTGTCCCATTAGGTGATATTCAGAGGCAATAATATTCCCTTTAAGTCTAGGCTTTAATGTCATTACTCCTGCAGAACGCTCAGAACCATGGTAAAAACCAAATAAAAAGGGGATTTCCATAAATCAACATCCACAGCGGCTGAATGAGACTCCTAGAAAAATAGAAAATAAAAATCAGAATTAAAAATGTTGCCAAATAGAAACAAAGCTTTCCTTTTCAACATATATTACGCATCGCCCCGGCATTGAGAGGAACGATCATTGGTCAGACCTACAGTTCAGAGAGCTGCTGTCAGAAGGAAATGAATGTGAAAGAATATAATGATCTATAGAGGAAACTTTGTTGTATTGTGATTTAATAAAGAGAGTAAAGTTATATAAGTTATACAAATTTTTAGAGATTGTTTTTGTTAAATTGTAGTGAATTGTAAATGTAAATTAAATCTGACTAAAGAATTTTGGACTTTATTTTAGTTAGAAAAAAAATAGATAGATAGATAGATATTAAATATTTCATAAACCCTCATTCATACATTGCTTTTCTCTCCTTCCATCCATGCTACCCATTAGCACCTCTTAAATTGACACTAGAAAAACAGTAACTATCATAAAGTTCTTCGTATGAAAGGTAATTCCACTGGGTCTGGTTTCTAGTCTCCTTTTATTTGTGCTTCCATAGATGGACTAAACGTTGGGGATCTTCAGAGGGAGCCCTGGAAGTTTGTTAGCTGTCGATACAAAATCAAAATGAGTAATTAAATTACAAAAATCACATCAGTCAGTTAGTCCAATAAAGCCCCTGAAAATTTATGTTTTTATTCAACCAAGTTATTTGGAAATCTGATGAAAGTTAATCAGATTCAAAGTGTCTGAAGTCATAAAGTAGGGTTAGCCTCAATTCATGTGTACTGTCTCTGACGGTAACTTGGTCTGACCTAAGATGGCATGTAAACCAGGAGCCCCTGAAACTGAAATCATTTAGTCTGAATGCATCATGAGGAAGAGACTCTGGAGTTTATAAGACACCAACAATGATTTAACAGATTTCAGCGATTTCCAGAGAAAACCACATATTTTATAAACTGATAATGCAGTTATCAACCAGATATGTTTAAGTGTTTCATCGCTGACTTTCAGCTGCTACAAACAGCTAGCAGGTAGCGGGAAATAACAGATATGACTGCCATCAAGCTGATGATAGCGAGAAAACACTCCAACCACCCGCCTAGCATGTAGCCATCGTGGCCTGTGGGTGGGGCTACGCTGCTTTGAAACCTCCAAAAGTCATTTTAAAGTTGGCTCATTGTTGATTGACTGATTAGTGAAGTATGTAGGTCTACTGAAAACATCTTGAAATCAATTTTTTCATGAGAAATTATTAGCAGTTTGAAACTCTTACAATTCCTTCACTTCATTTAATCTGAGCCTTTTTTATACATAGTTATGACTGTAACAATACTTTAATCCCCATTGATGATGTTTTAAAAGTACGAAAGTCTATAAGTACAGACAAGTACAGAAATGTAAACATAAGGAAAAATGCCCAATGTTTTCTTCTAAAAGAAATGAACTATGAGAAAGAGACTTTATTTAAATAGCCTTATTTAATTGGTTGATCTCTATGAGGCTTCATAAGTATCTTTTCCTGACATTCAACTAAAAAATATCATCTGTAGAGTAGTTTAAACAAGCTTTGATGCCAAAGTGTAGGTCGAAGCCTTTCTAGATGACAGTGCAGCATTGCGTGGTCCTTTCTAACCTTTGATGTGATGTCAGAGCTGCAGTGAATGCTGGGAAATGTACTTGTATTCTGCTTATATGCAGCTTGATCAACACATGGATGGTTAAAGTGAAGTGTCCTTTCTTTAACCTGTAATTCAAATTCTTTCTCCTGTGTTTGTTTTTCCAGAACGCCTGCAGGATTATGTTGGAAAAGAAGAGGTTTTCCCTGAGCAGCAGTTCTCTGAACAGGAGAGGAATTCCAGTTTGAACCAAGCAGAACCAGAACCTCTGCAGATAAAAGAAGAGCAGCAAAAGCCAGAACATTCCTGGATAAAAGAGGAAACCATGGGGCTCCATATAAGTAAGTGTAAGCACCATGTTGGTACCTTAGTGCTACAATAGGTCCTTGAAGAATTAGAGGGAGCTTGTGAGTCAGAACCCAGGGAACGGATCAGGTTTGACTGCAGAGTATTTTATTTAGGCTTAAAATACAATAAAAAAATCCAGTCCAGGATAATTATGTCCTTTATTCCACATTAAAATACCCTTAAAGGGCTGGAATTGCGGCACCAGTATCCACAGAGAAAAGTCACTCCCTTTGCTCAATCCCGCAGTCTCGCGATTGGCTCCATCGCACCGCATCCCTGCTGTTATCCGCTTCTTGTTGCCACTGGGTTCCTGTAAATAAAAACACATGCTGGGCTGAAGTGTTGTCTGTGCAGCCAGCCGATCTTTGCTACGTTTCTCCCAACAAGGCAAAACTCTGCAGATTTCAGTGGAAAACGTTACTCACAGATGCAGGGTTGTTTTCAAATGGACTCAGTTTCTGCTTTAGGGATGGTCCACGTCGAGCCAATCGGTCTGCTGATACCTGGAGATAATTCAGTCTGTCCTCTCACAGTGCCTGTGCTGTGTGCTGTTCACCTCCCTTCCTTATTGAGTTCTTCACCCTTTAAATGTTCTGCCTGCTTCCCTCGGCAGGTCTGTAAAACAGCTGATAGGCTAATCCCAGGCACACCCACAACTCCACAGGTAGCCATCATCAAGTAGTCCACAGTGGATTAAACCAATAAAACAGCAAAATCGTGTAATAAAGTGAAAAAGAAATCATGCAAAATCCAAAATATTTACAAAATCACACTTTAAACCAATTTCAACTGTGTGACATAAGCATGAAGAGCAGCTTGTTCTGAACAGGAGACTGGAGATACAGAAGAGAAAACTTTCCCATGTTTGAGATGTGGAGAAAGATTAAAAATAAATATTTTTTAATGGTTCACATTAGAACTCACACAGGTCGGAAGATTTATGACTGTCACTCTTGTGGGAAAAGCCTTTAAATCTAATCTTAAAGGTGTAGAGGATGATCTTGTATTAGCAGGTCTAAATAATTAACCATCTAAATAATTGGTCCTCCCAATTGGAGAGCTACTGCTTCAGACAGTCATTGAAGCTTTCTTACCACGGTTCTTTGAAAATGGCCGAGGGTCGTAAGAAGAGAGAAAAGTGTTAAATGCAGAGATTAATTTCTCCAGTGTGAGATTAATAAAGTTCGAACATAGTTATTATTACTATACGAAGTGTATGAGAAGAAAAGGAAGGCCTGACAATAGTCAGATAGTCTTTTTTCATAGCCTGTGCAATTTTTGAATTATTTTATAAGGTTGGTACATCTCTGCATTACAAGTGGAATAATCCAAGTCAACTAGACTTAGACTTTCTTGTCATTTTTTACACACTGTGTATACAAAAAGAAATTTTGTTGAGTACAGTTCTCAACACATTTCCATTTTTAAAGTGAAGCAGTGATAAGATTACTACTGCGTAGTCTTTCCTTAGCTCTCTACTGTGCAGATATTTTTATGACCAAGGGAAATGTATTCCAGGACATTTTAACTCTTTTTTTTTTTTTTTTTTCTTTATTGCTTTTCTTGTACTATATACACTCTTTTTGTATTGTCTGTTGTATTTTTAACTTTAACGATACCTTGCATTAACTCTTTGTACTCTGTAATATCTACTGGAACCAGAGTTCCCCTAAAGGAGTAATCCCAAGGTATAAATAAAGTTGAGTCTAAGTCTATGGAATGTTTTGTGCGAAGAGCCCTCCTCGCAAAGCATTAGGGGATTTGCTGTCACAGCCATAGGCTGCCGCTACCCGACAGCGGTGACTAGTAACAAAGATGGCGCAGGCCCCACACAATGGAGGAGGAGTTAAGTGACAAACGGAGCAAAAAGCAGTGATTATGTCTTTGAACGGTCAGTTAACTGAGTTTGCTATAGAGGCCACTATATAGTCCCCACTCTATATAGCGATTTAGGGTTTAGGGCAGATGTACGGATACAGTAAGCTTGTATGAGCTATGAGAACAGCAACTTTTAAACAGTTTGCACGAGGAGAAATGGGCTTGAAACGTGGAGAGGACAGGTGTTGGGTTCAAAAATGTAGGTTCGTAAAAGAGAAACGGAGTCCACACAGAAGAGGGATTTTTAACAGCTTCTGCAGAAGGAGAGGGTTACACGCAACTCACTACTCTCTGACGGACTTCCTCTGCAGAGCCTTTTTATTAGCAGATCATAACACATGGGGTGGGTTACAAAATAGTGTTCTTCTGCATATAGGACAATGCTCCTCTGATTGAATCACAGAACAGAGTGGTCTTCTGATAACTGGGATTAGCCGTGCACAAACATCAGTAATTTTCCACCACCGTTGCATGACAGTTTGCAGTAAACAGAGTGAAGCATCTCATTTCTCCAATGTTTCATATGTACACACATTAACTGTATAATCATCATTGAATAAACCTAACAGCAGGTCTTTGAAAGAATTTGTGAAAATCCTCCACATCATAAAGGTATTGTGGAGGCACACATCCATCTTCTTATCCATCAGGCTCTCAGTGGGGATGGTGCCTACCTCCAGCAGTCTATGGTGGAAAGGTGGGCTACACCCTGAACCATTCAACTTAAAAATATCATCTGTAAAGTAGTTTCAACAAGCTTTGATGATAAAGTTGAGGTCCAAGCCTTTCTAGAGGACAGCGCAGCGTTGCCTGGTCCCTTCTAACCTGTGATGTGATGTCAGAGCTGCAGTGAATGCTGGGAAATGTAGTTCTATTCTGGTTATATGCAGCTTGATCAACACATGGATGGTTAAAGTGAAGTTTCCTTTCTTTAACCTGCAATTCAAAGTCTTTCTCCTGTGTTTGTTTTTCCAGACTGCCTGCAGGATTATGTTGGAAAAGAAGAGGTTTTCCCTGAGCAGCAGTTCTCTGAACAGGAGAGGAATTCCAGTTCGGACCAAGCAGAACCAGAACCTCTGCAGATAAAAGAAGAGCAGCAAAAGCCAGAACATCCCTGGATAAAAGAGGAAACCGTGGAGCGCCCCATAATTAAGCATGAAGAGCACTTTGTTGAGACTCGAGATACAGTAGAAAAAGCATTCCCATGTTTGAGATGTGGAGAAAGGTTTCTACAAAAAGAATATTTAAAGGTTCACATGCGAACTCACAGAGGTCGGAAGCTTTACGAATGTCAGTCTTGTGGAAAAAGCTTCAAATCTAAATTTGTTATTAATAGACACATGAGAATTCACACGGGTGAGAAACCTTTCGAATGTGAGTCCTGTGGAAAAGGCTTCACTAAAAAATGCACTCTTGATCAACACATAAGAATTCACACGGGTGAGAAACCTTTCGAATGTGAGTCCTGTGGAAAAAGCTTTACTGAAAAATGCACTCTTGATCAACACATAAGAATTCACACAGGTGAGAAGCCATTCAAATGTGTCTACTGTGGAAAAGCTTTTGCTCAGATATCTGTTCTTAATACACACACCAGAATTCACACAGGTGAGAAGCCGTTTCCCTGTAATTTTTGTGACAAATATTTTAGTAGAAAAAATAACTTGACTTCTCACATGAGAATTCACACGGGTGAAAAGCCTTTCAGATGTGAGTCCTGTGGAAAAAGCTTTACTGAAAAAGGCACTCTTGATAGACACAACAGAATTCACACAGGTGAGAAGCCTTTCAGATGTGAGTCCTGTGGAAAAAGGTTTTATCGGGCATCTGAGCTTAATAAACACACCAGAATTCACACAGGGGTGAAACCGTTCCAATGTGCCGTCTGTGGAAAAGGTTTTGCTCAGACATGTGATCTTAAAACACACACCAGAACTCACACGGGTGAGAAGCCGTTTCCCTGTACTTTTTGTGACAAAAATTTTAGTAGAAAAAATAACTTGACTGCTCACATCAGAATTCACACAGGTGAGAAGCGTTTCACATGTGAGTCCTGTGGAAAAAGCTTTTTTCGGACATCTGAGCTTAATAAACACACCAGAATTCACACGGGTGAGAAGCCGTTCAAATGTGACTTCTGTGGAAAAAGCTTTGCTCATAGATTTGATCTTTGTAACCACACCAAAACTCACACGGGTGAGAAGCCATTCTCCTGTACTCTTTGTGGCAAAAATTTTATTAAAAAAACTAGCTTGACTTATCACATGAGAAATCACACAGGTGAGAAGCCTTTCAAATGTGAGTACTGTGGAAAAAGCTTTACCTTAAAAAGCTCTCTTGATAAACACATCAGAATTCACGCAGGTGAGAAGCTGTTCTCCTGTTCCCTTTGTGGCAAAAGTTTTTGTCAACAGGCTAGTTTGACTTTCCACCTTTCAACTCATGTGCAAAACGTTTGCCATCCATGAAATTGATCTTAAAAAGAACAATATATTGCTTTACAAGAGGTCATATCAGACGCCACAGAAATGAACAGGAGAGACCTTTTCCATGTTTTATCCGTGATAAAATTTCCATCTAGAAACTCCATCTCATTACATGAGGAACTCACAGGTTAAAGGTATTTTCTTTCTATGTTTAGAGAAAACCTTTCATTAATGGTTGTAATCTACTGTTTCCATGGAAACTAGAACAGGTAAGATGTAATCATGTAAACCTGGTACATATTTCAGCTATAAGATGACAAAGAACTCAGTTAACAGGCTGGACTCTAGTTCACTGCGAAACTGAAGCTAAAAAAATATTGAAACGGGTTTGAAATTGTTTCTGTTATTTGGTTCAAAGTTTATATTATTACTGATCAGTTTGAATCTGCTGCAATTTGGCAAAAAGCCCTTTGGATTAATAATGTATAACAGATGTCTTACACTCCTGTAGAAGTCTAATGCTTCAGATTTTTTTTTTCCTTTGTTTTTTTAATCAAGTTTTTATTTTATTTATTTTATAGCTATTATAAAAAACTTACAGCAAAAATACAATTCCCTTTACCCTATGTGGGCCATAGGGATAAAAGTAAAATGTTAAAAATGAAAACTAAAGCTTGCCTAACAAAAAGTGCACAAAAGTTCACCAGTCGGACGATTAGTTTAAATATCAGTAGAAAAAGATTGAAAGTGTTTCTTTGCACTAGAATGGATCATTTGGAATGAGGTTCAGATAT